CATTTCTTAAATTTTCAACAATATCAAAATAAAGTGAATGTTATAACCAGTACTTCAAGTAAAATTAGTCATTTAGACATAAAAAAAATTAGAAGTTGGCATAAGTTGCCTAAAATGTTATAGTGCGACATTAAGGGGCTTAAGTGTGCACATAGTCTTGTCATAAAACAATTTCAGATAACTATAAGTTACAGCTTGCCATTTGGATCTCACAGCTGCATTTGACACCATAAACCATCAATGGAAGTTTTTGTGTTAACATCAAGGATTTTGTTTCCACCTCTACTGCTCTCCTGTGAGGGGTTCTACAAGGTTCCATTGTTGGACCTCCTCTTTTCTCTTTATACTTGCATCCACTATGTGGATTCATTTTTGTTTTTATGCAAAACAATCCTTCAGAGGGTATACTTCACTCTGAAGCCCACTGGTCCAGGCTCTGTCTAGCCTCTCTCTGACTGCCTGGTTGAATTTGGATGTCATTAAAATGTATAAATTTCAATGAGAACAAGACAGACGTTATGTTGTTTACACCAAATGGCACCACCAGGAACCCCTGCATTAAATCTGGGAGTTTAATTTTCACGCCGTGGGACAATAAAGGCTATTTCTCTTCTATTCTTCTAAAATGGATTCTTCCCTAAAACTAATACATGCAGTCAAATCTGGCTTTTTTTTTTCAGTTGAGGCGACTGTCTAAATTGAAGGCCATCCTGCCTAAAAGACATCTTGAGGCAGTAATTCATGCTTTTAAAATGTACAGACTTGATTACTGCAATGGACTTCTGTTTTGACTTAGTCAGGCTTCTATTACTCATTTGCAGCTGTTTGAAAATGCTGCTGCTCGATTTTTAACTGGAACATAGAACACATTTCTTTGGCTTTCAGTTCACTTCCAAATTCATTAAAACAAATTTTTATATGTTTTTTAGGTCTCTTAATGATACTAACCCTTCATATCTCTCTAAAGTGCTGCAGCCATACGTAACTCTGTGCTCCAACAGATCAGATGCTTTTAATGATTCCAAGAACAAAATGAAATCAGAGATAATAGAGGTTTTTTGTTCCAGGTCCAAAAATCTGCAGTGGTTTGCCACTGCATGTTATAGTCATGCTCCCGCACTTACTGTTTTTAAATCTTAAATCTTTAAATCTCATTTAAAGACACAATTTACGTATTTTATCTTTTGTTTGTTTATTTTGTTGTACAACCCATTGGTCATCTTTGATCCTGTGTTTAGGTGCTTTATATATAAAAAGGTATGACTAGCTACAGTCCTACCTATGAATGCACTCCCCACCAAAATCAATGTCATTCCTGTAAAGATGGTAAAAACTGTCAACACTGAAGTATGCTTAGTTCTGAACAGAGCAGCAGTTTCATTTTGTAACTTTTACTGCCTTCTGCTTTCAATCTATTTATAATTTGTGTTTTGTTGTTTTTGTGTTTTGTTGACACCTACAAATTAAAATTAAGCAAATCAGATTAACTGTCATACATATTTTGTGTCTTTATATGTGGAACATGACTGTGTTTTAGGAGCTGGCTACACGTAATACACACTTTGTTTTTCTCAAACATAGTAGCTATACTAGCAGTATGTATAGTTTACTATTTTGTTCATGGTTCTCAAACTGTTACAGGTATCAATGGTGATGTTCTGGATTCTTTTATATGGAGGACCGAAACTGACATAATTAGAAATAAAAGCAGAAATATATAAATGGACCAATAAATAAATAAATACACTAAAAATGCATCAATTAAATAAAAAAAGAGAATTTTACCTCATGTTTTATAATTTAATTGAACTTCATATTTATTTTTCCAGCTTTTGTTTTCTAGTGTCGATATTATATATATTATATAACAAGGCTATTCATCTGAATTGCTCCAGGGGCCACAGTTAATGCAGGCCAACATCACAGGGTCTGAACATCTAGCAATTAAAGTCGTTATGTAAATAAACCAAGTATTTCTTCCAGTTTATTTTGCTGCATTTAATCATTAATACAACTTACAGAACCCTATAATAAAAATAGTGATATTAAAACATCAAAAACAAAAATAACACATTCTGCCTCCTATTTAATACAAATATTATTCTGACATCTCTGACTTGCTAAAATTATAAACCAATTTTATTTTCACTTTCATAGTTTTATCTTCTTGCTTGTAATTTTAACTGTCTTGGATGTTCATAGAAATGGTTTTTACCAGCTTCTAGTCAAGATTCGGATGTTTCTGTAGATACCAAACATGTCTATGTTTAACTAAAAGAACTCTGCAATTGAAGTAGAAAACCGAGGGTTTGGGCTTAAGAGATGAATGAACCAATTGGTGGGCTGAACTTTGGTCACTCGCGGGCCGGGCGTGGCCCGCGGGACGCCATTTGAATAGCTCTGTTATATAATATGCAATATAAAGTGTATTTTCCTTAGACTTCTGGAACCATTAGCCTGTAGCAAACCTTGTGCTAGTGGCTACTGAAGCAGCACCAGTGATGTTTTTATTTAGACCTTTAAGCAACAAAAAGTACAAAACTATGAGAACATTTGGTATTTGCGTGATTACAGCTGCCCGCGTAATCACGCAAACCTCATCCTYTGCCCACATCACTCCAGTCCTACAACAGCTCCACTGGCTCCCAGTTAMATCCCGCATCATCTTCAAAATACTCCTACACACCTTCAAAACTATCCACAATCTTTCCCCTCCTTACCTGTCTGACCTCCTAAACATCTCCACACCCCCCCGCTCTCTAAGATCTGCCTCCTCCCTCCAACTCTCAGTACCCCCTGCCCGCCTCAGCACCACGGGGAGCAGAGCTTTCAGCCGCTCTGCTCCGCAGCTCTGGAACTCACTACCCCATGGATTACGCAATACAACCTCTCTCCCTGTTTAAGACTGGCCTGAAGACACCTTTCCAGATTAGCCTACCACTGTTAACTCCGATTGATTGCTCATTGTACCTCAATATATGACTGTTTTGTAGTCCGCATTTCTGTTTCTCCCCCACAACACTATTGTTCAATTTATCTACTCTGTTGTATTTTATTAAATGACTGTTCTGTACTCCACATTTATGTGTTTCTCCCGCACTACCCTATCACTTTATGTATCTTATGTATCTAGAGTTGTTTCTTTTCTGTTGTACTGCGTTCTTGGGTGTCCTGAAAGGCACTTTATAAATAAAATGCATTATTATTATTATTATTTCCAAGTTATTCAGTGGTTGTAGAGAGGATAAGGTTGAGTTGACTTTATGACAGAAACAAGGCTCGTTTCTTACAAAACTGTCTTTTTTTTGTAGGAGACCAATGAAATTGTTGCCATAAAGAAATTCAAGGACAGTGAAGGTAAGAGATTTCCTCTCAGTCAGTACCTGTGAGTTTATATTAACGCCGTCCCCTTATTCTGCTTGCCTGCCTCCTGTCTTCATGTTCCTGATTCGTCTTCTTTCTTTCTCCTTCATTCAGAAAATGAAGAGGTCAAAGAAACGACACTACGGGAGCTCAAGATGCTCCGCACGCTCAAGCAGGAGAACATCGTTGAGCTTAAAGAGGCCTTCCGCAGAAGAGGAAAACTATACCTCGTCTTTGAGTACATGGAGAAGGTGAGCTTCTGTAAATCCTTCTGCCTCTTCAGCTCCTCTGCCAGCTGATGTCGTCGTGATTTCTTTTTTCTTTTGTTTCTTTTTTAGAATATGCTCGAGCTGCTTGAGGAGTTACCCACTGGTGTGCCAACCGAGAAAGTACGCAGCTACATCTTCCAGTTAATCAAAGCTATTCACTGGTGCCATAAGCACGACATTGTTCACCGAGGTAATTTCGGCTTTACTCTTTTTGTTTTTATCTGTATTTGGCTTCATATTACAAACACATTAGGAGACACTGAWAGTGGGAGCAGAGAAGAGGCCTTCCAGGCTGGAAGATACTCTTGAGCTCTCCAGAGAGCGCGCCACAATCTGAGCTCACGCTCTCAGAAGCAACTTTTAAAGTAAAATCAAATAAAACGTTGGTTTAAAAAGATTGCTAGATGATTTATAAMCAAACTCTGTGTTGTTTAGAAATAAAGCTTTTGTTGAATTGCTGGCAGGCAACCATGAAAGCAGATGGCCCATGTGAGCCTTTGGCACAGCAACAACAGAGCAGAGCAGCATCCAAAGGCCTGCAGTACACCCAGGCACACATATGACACTGTTCRGTGGATGGGCTGCAGCCTTTCTTTACATTCTGTGCAGTTGTATTGTGATGTTGTAAATGTTCTGGTTTGAAGATCTGATTTTTGTCAGTGTTGTCAGAAATGGTTGACGTAACGGTGCTCCGGTCAGCTCTCTCACGTCTGTGCTCTTCTTCTTCAGACATAAAGCCAGAAAACCTTCTCATCAGCTCCGATGACGTCCTCAAGCTMTGTGACTTCGGTGAGAATCTTTACTGAATCCTCATGTTGTACGAGCTGCGAAACGAGCAGCCGAACAGCCAGCGCTGTGATGCAGAAGGAGTCATGTATTTGGCTGGAACAGGCAGCTCAGGAGTGCAGCTTCGTCCGGTTCTCTGCAGCTCTGTGTGCACGCCTCTCTGCTGCCGCCGTTCTGCTTCTCTGCCTCTCTCATCTCAATTAATGAAACATGTTGGAAAACAAGAGTCTAATAAGGCTTTGATTCAGCCTCGTGGCACCACAACAAGTGGGGGAAAATGTAAAACATGGCACCACCGACATTGTGCAGGCAATCTGGAGTGAGAGACTGAAGACCTGCTGTTTGCTCTGTGTCAGCCAAAGGCACTGAGCGAACCGTCTCCGGGCCAAACTGACTCTGTCGTCAAGCTTTACGTTTAAGTGTGTGTCTTTGTGTGTTTCTTATTGTGTTATTTTCATTTTTAGAACACGAGGACTTTCTAAAAATGACCTTTGTGCCATGATTTCATCTTTCGTTTAAAGGAAAAGTTTCACATTCCTGCTGAAGTGGGACTTTGTGGAAAGGTTATGTGCAACTAATATCTTACCTGATGCAGATAAATTTGCAARCAACTTTAGTTTGGAGAAATAAAATGTAATTTTGACAGGACTGAYGAGCTAAGAGCCAGTGCAAGCCTATACTACTGGACTACAACTGCCCTTAAAGGGGACATACGTATAATGCAAAATCTACTTTTTTAGTTTTAGCCGTTAAATACACTTTGTTGTGGACTTGGAGTCTCTAGGAGGCAAAAAAGTTAATTTAGTCTCTCCTGTTGCTGCAAAGATATCTTTATGTTCTGTTTAGGTCMGATTTTTTAGCTCGTTCAGTTTTCTCTTTTKTCCATGATGTTTTCTGAACTCATGTCAGATTATCTGCGATGGACCAGCCAAATGAGATCTGGACTTACCAACTACAATTTCCTTGTCTTAATTCTCCTCAGGTTCTGGGTCAGACTCTGGTTCTGGGCCAGACTCTGGTTCTGGGTCAGGCTCTGGCTCCAACATACTGTATAAGGCTAGATGGATAAGTCTTCTGTTGTTGACATCTTTTAACTAAATTGTAAAAAAAAAAAAATTCTGCAAGCTAGAAAAATGCTAACCCCCTCTCTCAAACCAGGGTGGAGCAGTTTGGAAGCAGGAAGGGGGCGGGGCTTGAAGTGTCTTAAARGAAAAACAACAAAACAAGCTGCTTTGAGCAGAAAACAGCAGAAAAGGGGTGGAATAGGGGCTGGTAAAGTTAGAATTAGGAGGAATTCAGACCAGAGCATTGTAGTTCCACTTTAGAAAGACCCAACTGAGTGATTTAAATGTGAAAAGGAAGGATTTAAAAGCATGCAATGTCTACTTTAAACAACTTAAATTGACAAATTTTCATATACTTTTACACCATCTATAAATTTCTCAGTACCTGATTAATTACTTAGACTGCTGCGCAAGTCCAAATAGCATCCAGATGCAGCACCTCTAAAAGTCTGGTGTCAGGCTGAGCTGAAGGATTGTAATAAATCTGCTAAAATAACCTTAAAGTGCTAAWCTGATGGAGATCTAAAGTTTTTATTGCCTTGTTTGCATGAACCATTATAAAACTGGCTTTAGACGGGGGTCCACTCAGACTCTATTGACAAGCTRATAGTGCCAGTTCAAGTGGTCCCACTTATAAAGTGCAAACATGCTGCCTGAAAAACAAAAACTCAAATCTTCTCAATTTTGTAGTGGTTCATGCTAATAGGGCTAMAGATGGCCACAATTACTCAAAGTTGTTGCCTGAAAGCAAAGTTTGTCTGAATTAATATGAAAAGTACCTAAGTAAAAAGTAATAAAACTGCTCACAATAATTGGAAATGTAAAAGTAYGTTTACACACAATAAAAAATAAATGAGTTCAGTAAAGGGAAAGAAATTAACTCAGCTTGGTTTAGTGAAACCAGTTAACTTAACTTAGTTAAATTCACATTTTAGAGTGCATAAACCACTCCTTTCATGATGAGTTTTGGTCATTTATATTTGTAACGTGGTGTTAAATTTTAAAGTAAAGAAGTGAAAGTATCATTTTTATGTTTTGAATGTAACAAAATAAAAGTAAAAGCTGTGGTTTAAAAAGTACTTAGTAAAAATACAGATTCTCAAAAAAAAAAAGACTTAAATACTACAAATCTACTTTGTTACTACACCTCTACCAGTAATACGGTGTTGGTATTAAGGGTGTCCCGATACAACTTTTTCACTGCCGATACGGTACTGATATTGCAGCATTGAGTATTGGGTGATATCGACCCAATATGATATCAGAATGATACATACTTTTATCACATTTTTTGTAGTGTGGAATGGTAAAAAGGACTGATCAGGTCAAACAGTAAACAATTGGCAACAAGAGTAGATCTCCCATTTATTATTAACCAATGAGTTACATACTGTACATTTTAACTTAAACATAAGAATATTGTACAACTAAGTACAATAACTAACTAATAAAATAAAAAAAACTGAAAAATTACTTCAATAAAGCCAAAAACCAAAATATACTTTTTAAGTATAAAATAACTATTCTGGATCATTTATGGTA